GTTATAAGAAATTATATTAAATAAAGTAAATCATGTGTGAATATAAAATATCAAAAATAATCTTTTTTTTTTCTTAATGTACTAAAAGTAACAAATATAAGTGATAATATAGTTTAGTACAATAAACAAGTGGAAGTGAATGAAAGAAGTTATATAAATCTTTTTTAATTTTCTTTTACTATAATCAATATTTATATTAAAGCATATAAAATTTGAATTGGACTGATAAAGCACGTATTAAAGGTATCAAAAAAGGTTATCGTCAAAATACAAGACTTTATAATAAAAATGACTATATATATATCGTTAAAATTAAAATTCAAAATTTTTAATCATTTAAAATAGTAAAGTATTTCGATGAATTACTCCAACTTAAAAGTAAATTGCAAAGTTACTTTTACTATTTTGATTGAGTGAAGTGATAGTAACAAAATGAGATGAGTGATTCATACGAATACTCCTATAATTAAATCAAATTATTATGGTTACAATAAATGCTCAATTATTGTGTTTAGACATTTAATATTAAGGTTTTCTATCTCACTCCAATAATGCCTATACGTACTCCAAACACTTATCTTTCATGGCCCAATATCTTCTACTCCGTGCATCATAATTTATTTATCGAGATAGGGAGTTCAAAAAATAAAGTAAAATTAAGTTAGTGTTTGGTCATAGATTTTCAAATATTTTTGTCAAATATTATTTGAGTGAAAATTTGGTGAAATTTCACCATGTGTTTGACTATAGGATTTGAAAAATATATTTCATATTTTTAGAAAATTATGATTCATACCTATAAGTTTTAAAAACTATCAAAACTAACTATAGATTTGTATTACAAGTCAAATTGGATGTTCGTTACAACAATAACAAATGGTGTCTATGACACTAGAACAATGTGATAATTTGAAATGAGTGCAACAAACATCATTCCATACATCGTGAAGTATACAAAACACGTGACTTTGTTACCTTGAGCCAATTTTTCATCATTTTCATCAACAATCAAATTATTATTTAATATTCAGTAAATATTTCATCACTATTTTGGTGTTCCACGTAAAAAATTATGTAATATAACGCAAACAACTACTATAGAGAGTGTTTTTTTGAAAAGATACAAGTTTGGGATAAAAATTTAATTTTCAAAAGATCTCAAATAATGAGATTTGACCCAAATATTAGAAAAAACTTGTATTTGAGAATTTGGAATATATTCCAAATATATTTGTCAAATAATGGCAAATTGTATGAACAAACACTAATTGCCAAGTTTTTTCCAAATATTATGGCCAAACGGGTCCTAAATTTATGGTTCTAAATTTAAATATGTGTAAGTGCATTAAAATAATTTTTAATTTTATAACTTTAAACAAATCATATGAGATATTAAAGTCATTATTTATTCATCAAGATATGAAATTTAAAACATAAATAAAATAAAAATATGTACAAGCATATTAAATATTTTTTAATTTTATAACTTTAAACAAATGATATCAAACATTAAATTTTACAATGTTAGTTCGATTAGAAAGGACGTATTTTTGAATCGAGAGAGAGAGTTGAGTGTGTTTGGCTTATGTGAGTCAAAATTTGATATACAGTTTTTCAATTTTAAACTTGTTTTATTAACCTTTTAAAAAATTTATTAAATTTTTTCTACTCTTTTGATTCCGAACTTTTCTTTAAAAAAGTATAGTTATCTGAGTAAATTTGAAATAACTATACATATAATACTTAGTAAGGAACATCATATCATATAAATCCTATAACCTATGGAGAAAATAATGTAATTTGGTTGGATTATAACTACTATTAAGGGGTCGATTTCAAAGAGTTTATGTATTTAAAATTGAAAGTGAAACCTCTTCTAAAGTAATAAAAAGAAATCAATAATCTGTATTCTTCTCTTGTAATAAATATAATAAATGTAAACGTACGTTCTAGAAACTGTTAACTTACTCTATATTTGTAGATTTAGTTCCTGTTCTTTTATTTTCTTATTAGTACTACTCTAGCATGCATACTCTATTAGGTATTAAAAATTAATGAGTTCAAGTAAGATTTTCAGAGAGACAGTTCTAACAAGTACATTAATTAATTAATGAGCATATATATATGTATATTGGATAAAGGAGAAGAGGAATCCAATGAAATATATGCATGGAAAAATGTGAAAGAAATAATAGAAAAACATGGCCCCTACAAGGAATCCTATGGAACTTAATTAGTTAGTTCATATCCTTTGATTTTGAATTCATGAATATACTTCCTCCGTTACATATTATAAGTCACTTTTATTTCTTTATAATTATATTAAGAAATAAGGTAAATTTTAGTCCTATGTTGATTATAAATTTTCAAGGTTAGTCGAAGTAAATATATTTTGAAAATTAATTAATTAATTTGTAATAAATTTTAACCATAAAATAAAATATGAAGAAACATAAATTTTATTGATTAAGACAGCCGGTATAATTCTATTGATCCCATGATTCTACTCTCCTAGAATTTATCCATGATTCGAGGGCAATTAGTGGCGTATTTCTCGAACTAGGATGATTTAGATTTTGACATCTCTATATGAATAATCCATCAATTTGTGGAGTATTCGAGATTTTGATGTCTTTATGAAATTTTTGAGATGTTTTTAAAAATATTTTAGTATTCTTTATATAGACATAAATTAGGATTTAGTGTTGAATAGCCTTCAAAAATACTAATTTAAGTTCACCACAATTTGTAGAGTCCCAACTCAAAATTGAACACGTCTTGTCACAAAATTTTAGTAATCAAAAAGGATGTAATGGGCAGAATGTGATATTTATACATAAATTTTAAAAACTGACATACAGGTCCAACTATTTTTAAAAATGATTACTTATAATATGAGAAATAGTATAAACTAATATCTCAATTGGTTTAGAAAAATATGACCTATTTTTTTTTATTGAAAAAAAACAGTTTTTCTTTTCTTTTTAGCACCACTTCAATTTCAATTTTTCTCATAATTTTTATTTCTTTCACATGATTGTTTAAAACTATAAGATTCAAATGAATTTCATTACATTTAACATAATATTTAAGTTAAGATTATAAAATTGAAAAATCTTTTTTATGAGTGTAAAATAATACTCTCTATATTTCAATTTATGTGGTACAAATTGAATTTCAAAAGTCAAATGATTTTTCAATTTGATCGTGAATTTAAATATGAAATCTTCAAAAAAGAATTATTATAAGTCATAATAAATGACAACTAAAAATATTTTTAAAAAGTTTGATTACTATCTGTAAATTTTATAAATGCCAAATAAAGTGAGATAGGATGAAATATATAGTTATGACAAAGTATTACAAAATTACATAAAGAGTAATGTTTATAAATAAACAAATTACGCCATACTATTAGTGACGTAGTATATTTGATTAGCTTTTCTATTTGGTATCCATTTTCAACATTGCTATTACTTAGTTCACGTTAGAAGAAAATATCTGTTCGTACTTAAGGTTTTAAGAAATACATAGAGATTTTTTAGTACACACAATGAATATATATTATTTTACTTGAAATACTTTTCTAAGAAGAAATTCCAAACTCAAATTCTTTATTAAAAAATTGAAATAATGAATAATGTTAAAAGAAGAAACACTTCATTTTATTTTGCTCTGCCCGAACTGCCCGGTTGATAATTCGACTGGCGGGAACCTTAAAAGGAATATTTTGAACTCGCGCCTACAATGAGCCCGCAAAAGGCGGTGCTACACTACAACTCTATTATTTTTCCTTTTAACGTACCTTTTTTTTTTTATATATAATAATAATTTATATGATATCGCTCGACTTAAAAATAAAATAGACAATTTGTGTCAAGTTAAATTAATAAGCGAAATTATAAAAAAATCATATTTTATATTTGTATGAATTAATTTTGTCACCCTAAAGCCTAAACAACATTCTTTTTTAAAATTTTTTTAATGATCAGTCAAAAATACAGAAACAAGTCCACAATTCTCGTACACGTGTAGGCAATTTCCAAAAAGGATCATACAACAAGTATATATTAAGGAACTGATGAAATAATTCCTCATACAATAGACACATATTATGATCATTGGACATATCGCGTGCAACTGAAAATGATAAAAAGTATGAGAAAATGTTTTTCAATTTTCTCATGTTTGGTTAGGACAAAAGTTTTGAAAAATGTTTTCTAAATCAACTCATTTTTCTCAAAATTAAGGAAAATGACTTTCCTTAAAAATTAAGGAAACATCTTCCAAAGCTCTCCTCCAATTTTAAATTACATTTTTTTTTGGAAAAATATAAATTTTTAAAAAAATATTTTCAATTTCAAAATTTTATTTTTTCACCGATCTCTTACCACCCTCCCCTCTACCCCTGCCCCCAACACCACCCCCTCCCCAAAAAATTAATTTTACTTTTTAAAAATATTTTCAACTCCAAATTTTTATTTTTAAGCTTCTACCTCCCCCGCGGACTAGCCCCCTACCCACCCCAAAAAATTAACTTTATTTTTTAAAAATACCATCAACTTCAAATTTTTATTTTTTCATTCCTACCTCCTCCCTCTGCCCCCCCCCCCCACCACCACTACCCCCCACCCCTTATCACCACCACTCAAAAAAAAATATTTTTAAAAAATATTTTCAATTTCATAAATTATTTTGTATTCTAGTAAAAATAAAAAATATTCCTCAAAAATATTTTTCATTCATAAATCAAACACTAAAAGTCATTTCCGAAAAATATTTTCTACTCAACAACCAAACATGAGAAAATAAGTCCAAAGTCTACTTGTTTTCCAGGAAAACATTTTCTAGAAAAACATTTTCCATGGAAAAACATTTTCCTTCATACCAAACACACCCTATATATACACTTCTTTTCTTAACTCAATCACACCCAGAGATAAAAATGATTAGTGTAAGCGCCACTAATATTAGAAGACTTCCAGACTACATTGCTTGGATTCATAAAATACGCGGCTAGTTGCATGTCAAAAAATGTATTTTTGGAGGATCTGACACTCGGAGAGTGCGAGCATCATAGCCTCTACAACACCAATATTTGAGAATTGACTTGCATCCTCAAGAAAAAAAATAGCAGATTACTTACCAGTCTAGAAAAACATTCAGCCACGGTTCTGCAACCATCATACTGTTAAGGGAATATCCTGCAAACTAAACCAATTTTACGAATATATTTTTTATTGGGGGCAACCTTGTTCTAATAGGCAATGTCTCAAACTCTGCTTGCTTTAGCATATGGGTATTAACACAAACTTCAGGTGCATGTTAGAAGATTGAATTGACCAACACTATCGGAATAGAGGTTCTTAGCTCACCAATAGGGAGTGTCGTCATCTTGATCAAGAAAACTCAGATCCTGCATCAGTATTTAGCAATTCATCAGATGAAAAACAGGCAAAGTAAGTTTAACTAATAATTTAATATAAGCATTCACTCACATCAAAGCATGATCCTTTGTGAGGAAGATTTTCGACAAGTCTTTCTGAATTGGAAGAGCAAGAAGCGGAACTAGAAGAAAATTTTCTTTCTCTTTATGGATAACCAATTCATTTTCAAATATAGTTGGGAGACTTTACCCAAGATGCCATCTTGACTTTTGCTGAAATGAAGTCTTCCTTGTAGACGTTGCTGAGATCATCACATAATCCTACAAATTTACAACAGCTGAGTTAGCTAGTAGTGTCAAACCTCTCTATAGCAATATAACCGATCTTTCATGATATGTTATATTATGTGTTCTCGAATAACCACATTTTGCTATAGTAGCCAAAACATACTGGAACAAACTACGCCGTCATAGAGAGGTTTGACTGTATTACATTCAAAAAAAAAAAAAGTTTTGTTAGATACACCCAACAGTTATAGTAAAGGCTCGAATAACATACCACATTTTCTATGTCTCTTGTTTTGTTTCCGTGTGACCAAAGAGACATGATCCTTCTTTTCCTGGCATTGCAATTCACTGGTATCTTGTCTACATGCATCTCTAGTTACTATCCCGTATGATCAAAGAGGAAGGAATGTGTCCTCGAGAGGCTTCCATCTCGCACTTTCCTTGTCTTCAATGATCTGTTCCTCCAGATTTCTATCTGGTTCAATCACATCATTACGGTGGTCTGGTGATAAGGGAACACTCTCATGGACAGGATCACCCATGATTTCAATTGCTGGAATATCAGAGGAATGTCATCACAAACAGTTCCTTGATTTAGTGCTGCGTGATTCTTAGGGGAAGAAGTTTTACATTGAGTAAAAAAGACACATTCAAATCTTGGAAATAATCAGAAAAAAAATCTACATCTAAAGTCAATTAGATTCTTACTCTGTCTCCACAGGTATGGCGCCTATTTCAGAAACTTCACCCAATTTTGACAAACTCTTCCTTATGTCCTGTAAAAACGAACTCAAAATGTTGTTATAGTATACGTGAATAAATCTAGAATTCCCTGCAAATATAAAGCAAAAGATGAACCTGATCCACCTCTCATCAATCAAAATAGCTACATACTGATCTTCACGCGTTAGTATTTGATCTAGCTACATGAAAAAAGTATCATTACTGATGAAAATGAAACAGAAAAAGGTATTATAACAGGAAATTAAGTGAAAAACTGAATAGTAATACATACCTAACCTTCCAAAGTTATCTCTTTGCGACTTTTAATATGAGTATCCTCAAACCTGGAAATCAAAATGCACATATGACTACATACGGACTCTAGATGGCAACTAAAACAATCTTACGCAAGATCAGCTATTCAGGTCAAGATCAAAGGCATCAAGTTCAAATGTTTCTGGCAAAGTGATGGAATAGTATGATGCATGAGTGACACCTTCTGAAAGATTGACATTTGTAAACGAAAATGCCTCTCCTATTCCTGCTTCTAGGTTTCTTCAGTCTAAGTATGAACTTTCTTTCAGTATATCCGAACCGTGAATTTCCTTGATCTTCACCATGTGAGAACCTTCAAGGTAATAAGAGAAGAAGAGAACGAAATAAAATGTTTGAGTATTCTTCAGCATAATCTCAAGTGATCCTGTACATACTATATTTATACAGTTTAGTAACAACTCTAACTAACTTTCTAACAGTGTAACTAACTGACAGTTCTAACAGAATACAATTAGCTAAACATACTAATTACTGAAAATATCTTCTATTCAACATCCTCCCTCAAACTGATGATTTGAATACATACTTCAAACTCAGTTTGGTCATTAAGTGTTCATGTTGTTGCCTGCCAAGACTCTTGGTTAATAGATCAGCCTGCTGCTCCTTAGTGGAAACATAACAAGTCTTGATGATACCTTGTATAATCTTGTCTCGCACAATGTAAATGTGCTTAGTTCTTTCATGAAAGATGGGATTGGCTGCAATGTGAATAGCAGCTTTGCTGTCGCAATAAAGGTGTATGGGAACCTCAACACTGATCCCCAGCTCCTTATACAAACCAATCAACCAGTTCGCCATGGCCACCACAGAGGCCATACTTCTAAACTCTGCTTCAGCAGAGCTTCAGAGGGCATTAGAAGACCAAGACCTGGTGCATTCTTTATATATTTCACTACTCTTAAGGCAGCATTCATGTGAGATTGTTTGGGACTATGCATGAATTGACTTAGCACTTGCACTACATATGCAATGTCAATTCTAGTCATAGTGAGATATAACAATCTTCCTACTAGCCGTTGATATTGAGTAGGATCAGCAAGTAGTGTATCTTCATCCTTAGAACCTGCTTCCTTATCCATTAGTTCTAAAACCATCATATTCGACTGATGTAAGCTTCAGAATGGTTAATGAGATGGGTGGACTCCTTATAAGGTTTGAACAATCCTCCTCCCTTTGAGCTAACTTTTGGGGTGTGAGTGCAATGGGAACTGTTGGAAACATGATGAACTCTATACAAATAAATAATTTAAACCAATAGGCATTAGTATTATCGATCAAACACTCGAATAAGAACTACCTACAATAAGCATATCAAATCTATTTATGTTATGCATGTATTAATTACCGCATAACTTAAAAATAAAATTAAAGAGAAGGAACCAATACGTTAATGGAAGAATAATGATATCTCTTTGATACTTAATGGAACACACAAGAAAAGTGCAAACAACTTAAATTCAACTGCACTACTACTCCATCCTAATACTTGTGATTCCATAAACAGCAAAATAAGCAAGCATCTTAGTTGTGATGTTCTGTACAACAGTTTTATTTATTTAATTTTTTTGGCAGGGGAGACATGATTCCTCTCTGCTAACAATGTGATAAATATATACAAACAAGTAATCAGCATTTGTTATGAACAATAAACCTTATTATTATCAACCAACAACTTCAATGAATTTATTTGATGCCCATCTCTTAGCCACATCAGAAACCTTATTTTCCTCAACCTGTAACAGTCTCAACTTTGGTGAATTCAACACAAATAACTCAACACCCTGTGTCTCAATCCCACAACAATACATTGCATCAACACTTTGTAATTTCTTGCAACACTTAGCCAATGAAATCATAGATAAATTTGTCAACTTTTTGCAACCCCTTACCTTCAATTCATTCAAATTGTTGCAGGATACTAGCATTGATATAAGTTCTTTATCAAGTAACATGTCATTAAAAGACAAGTCTAATTTCCTTAATCTTTTCAAATCTTGTCCTAATGTAGTCAACAAACCTGATTCTCTTTCCACTACATCACAATTTATCAAAGCCAATTCTTCAAGCCCATCAGCCATAGCATTTCCAAGAATCTTTAGCCCCTCACCGGTAACAAGACAGCAACTTTGTAACCTTAAACTCCTCAAACTCCCTAAATTTTCAGCAGCAGCTGTCAAATGATAGTTTTCAAGATCAAGAGGCAACCTTAAATCAAGATTCTGTAAATTAGGACATTTGCTTTGGGTCAAGAAATGAAACAACCCGTCTTTACTACCACCATCATAGAGCAACAAAGAATTCAACATAGCACAATTCTCAGCCAATTTCAACAAAACCCCATCAGCAATTGTCCTACAAGTTCTCAATTCCAATTCTTGAAGACCCTCTAAACACTGAAGAAATGTTAAAAAAGAACCTTGATCACCAACCCCTTCACAGCTTATCAGCTTCAAAGTTGTTACCTTTTTGCAATTCCTCCATAAAAAACCAACCCCCTTATCCCCTGATTTAATTCCAGTCAACAAAAGACTCTCCAAATTCAACTCACAAGAACCATAAAACTCCCCATAATCAAATTCCCCTGAATTTCCAGCTGAGTAAATAGAGAGTTCTTTAAGACAGCCAAAAGGGGTTACCCAGAGAAAAGAAAGGGGTCTAAAAAGAGTTACAGCAAGAGAAACAAGATTAGGGCAAGAAACAGAAAGAGAAAACAGAGATAAAGTAGAAACAGAGCCATTCAAGAATCGGAGATGTCGTAGGTTAGGGCAAGAAGAAGCAACGGAATTAAGCAATTGATCAGAGGAATCTAGTGTATGTGTAATGGTAACAGAAAGAGTAGATAAAAAAGGATGAAAACTGAGAAAAGATGAGAAAAGAGGGATCAAAGGGGTTTCAATAAAACAGATAGAAAGAGAAGTAGTTGAAGAACGAAGAAGATGAAGCCACCGCTTACAGACTAAAGAAACAGAGGCGGCAGACGGTGGAGGAAGGCGGCGGAATATTTCTTGGAGAAGTTCATCACAGAGTATAGAATCCATACTCAACACAAATAAATTTTTAGAGAGAGAGAGAGAGAGTTGTATTATAGGTGTCCTTATTTACCTACCACTCATTCATTTATTTGTTTTGTGGACTTTAAAGAAACAGAGCAGTTAGCTGAAGTGGAACACACGGCACAATGCCTTACTTATTACAGTTAAGCAATGCCCAGATTTTCAATATCTTATGCCGCCTGTCACTCATTTTAGCGGGATAAAGTATGTTAATTTAAAAGTGGATAAATTAGTATATTATATTTTACTTTTTTTTGTCTATTTAATATTAGTTTGAAAAAAATATTAATATGCGTTGGGTTCATAAGATCGAAAAAGGGTGAAAAATTATTTATAAAAATAAGCTTAGGAGTAATAGGATCTTAGTATAGTATAAACATGTCTATAACATTTCAGACATTAATTGGGATACTTGTGCATTTTCTCTAAATATATTAAATTTTAAAAATAATTTTTATATATTATATATCATACATGGAATATAATAAATTAATATTTTAAAAAGTAACCATTGTTAATAATAAGAGCACATTAGGAATCAATTCATAAATTAGTAGTTTATATGGTTGATTATCTAAATTATTATTGTAGTTAGTGAGGGATTTGATTTCCAACTTATAACTCCCTCTCCATGTCCTTAAAAATAAAATAAATTATCACTTGGTTTTTCAAACTCAATAAATTAAAATTAATATATATTTTTTGATATAATGCATAAATATATCATTTAACTTGGCTATGGTTGACATCTATATAAGAGATTCTAAGTTTGGGTGTGCATAAATATATCATTTAACTTGGCTATGGTTGACATCTATATAAGGGATTCTAAGTTTGGGTGTGCATAAATAGATACATGAACTTATTTAAACTTAAATATAAACAGACACATACATAATACATGTCAATTCATATTATACGTGGTGTATTATTATGTGTATTATGTTACATAGAACACGTGTATTTATTTGTTTGTTTAATTTTATATAAATTTAAATATCTATTTATACATCAATAATATTATGTTAACAAATACAAAATTAAAATATATATTATATCGTATTTTATAGTCCACGACTAAAAATGGATGTGAGGAGTTAATAGCACACGAACAAATATAGAAATGGACAATGTGCTAAGGCCTAAGCAACTACTATTATTTTGTTTGTATCGAATTTTGTATGATTTATACAAATTGCCCCTCACGTTTGGTAGGTTGGATCGTTTCTTGATCCTTCGTTTTATTTTGCATCGCTCGAACTATAAATCTGAAAAAATGAGTTGTGACATTTACCCTATATTAGCTATAAATAGAGATATTATATATCTCTCATTTTTCTGCATCGAATTCTTCTCTTCGTCGGCATACATTTTTTATCAAACAAAATTAAATCAATAGTGTCTATATGTGTGATTCGTTGCTATTATTTTGAGTTCGTTGAAATTATCGAAGTTTGAGGTATCACTATTTCTTTAATGATTAATCCGTTTTTATTTTGGGAAAAATTAATCTACAACCTAGTGTACTTGAGGGGATTAACAAGGAAACACAATGGATTATGTGGATCCGGACAATTCTTTTATTTTTCTTTCATCTTTTATTATTTATGGTTTGCTAATCTATATACAGGAGATAACAAGACTTAGATTTTGTGGTTATAAAATAAATTTATATACATCGTCTTGTTTGTTTTAGCAAAATAATTTGATTAATTTCAGAACTATATATCTGTCATCTATATATTAGTTCTTTTCTTAAAAAAAATAAAATATATATATATATATATATATACTTACAAATCATCTAAACTTTACAATTATCTGATCATAAAAGTTAGAGATTAATAACATGAAAAATAAGACAAAAATTGTGCTAAAACTTTTTAACTTATATCATTATTAGATCATTTTTCTGTACAAGCATCAACAATATTGTTGTTTGATTGACATGAGACAACGCACTCACCTAAGCTTAATAACAATAATTTAGTCATCCAATTTGGTCCTACCACCCCACTGACCCAATATAACAAAGGATTAGATAGTTTTAGGAGTAAAATTCTAAGAATGATGAAATATATAAAAATGTTATTTCTATTTTTGTGTGTTCAACTTAAGAAAATTGATCTTCAAAATAGGTTTTTTTTTTTTTAAAGAAGTAGATAAGCTATGATAAAAATATTCGAATTAGAAAAATACTAATAAGAAAGATGGTTCAAATGAAAATAATAAATAATAACTTTATCGATTCTTGTAATATCAAAAAGAACGTATGAAAATATTTTTAAAAATATTATAAATGTTAAAATTAAAATCAATTGTTTTTTTTAAAAAAATAAATTTTAACATTAAACCCATTAAATTTAAACTCGAAATTTACCTAATGTTTGAAGCTATGACAGTATTATTTGTTTCGCAAACTTTCTAAAACTGAACCAAGTCTGCTTTATACCCCAATTAATTCCTTAAAACTAATTAATTTAATTGGATAAAGAAAAGATCAATTTACCCTTTTAATTCCCGGATTGAACATTTCCTTGATCCAACAGCCCAACTTCCAAAGGGCATAACTCACTCGTCCAAATTCAAAATTTTGCAAACTCGGCGACGTTGAACAGAGGGCTTTCCAACTATATCTGCAAATACTCCTAAATCATTCTGAGTTAGAAGTTATGACCGTTTGAAGTTGACCAAAAACTCACTTTTAACTTGCTATCAATTTTCCAAATTTCCTTATACTTATCAAAAAATGATTATTTTTAATTTCTTAGCTATTTGAAGTTGCAAGATGTTACAACAAGATACTCCATAATGCATGAATACTTACTCCAAGGAACACAGAGCTTACGGACAGAGTGAGAGGAAGACTTCAAAGTCGAGGCCATTTAAGTTTTTCGTGTACATGTTTATGTACAGACCGTTTTCTAATAGGCAATGTCTCAAACGGGGACTTATGATTAGACTATACTATGAGATATATAATTTGAATGAGACTGTGGATTAGTGAATTCATGAGCCTCTGCTGAAGTAGCAAATGGCAGTTCTTCTCGTTGTTGAGGTGAAAGAATGTGTCCTCGACAGGCTTCCATCTCGCAGTTTCCATGAACATGTGCACTCCGCTTGAGCTTGTAGTTTGCTATTCCAGATATTAAGAAGCTTCCTTTCACACTTGTCCTGCTGAGAGAAACTGGACATATTTGATTGCCAGAAAGAGACCAAACAACCCTCCCAAGAAATTTGATATCAGAGGATACACCGTCTTCACAATCTTGAGAAGCATAAGATTTGGGAATAGGTGGGATCAAATTAGACTGAAAACAGTAAAGTACTCTGTGCTCGTTAACAGAGGGTCTGCAGGTTTTTTCTCAGGGCATAGAAGGTCTTACCAAGACGCTCCAAAAAGGGAGTATGGGTTGAAGGCTTCAAAGTAGGCAGTCCCATCAGAAACAATGTTATAGTTTCACATCTGCTTTATACTTTGCTATTTTATAGAGCAGATAGATCATAGATCGCAAGTGATTAAGCTACACCTGATCTTGCACATTTTTTAAGTTGTCTTTGGACTACATACAAATATGTCAAAAAACACTATCTATCAAGTAAATTCAGTGCTTAATCTGGCAAAGCTAGCACGAATCATGTGATGCAACATAGGGTCTTTTTCAACAACTTATCCTGGACTGCCTTTAGGTGCAAAATTCATGTCTAACGCAATCTGGTTGGGAATTATTGAGAAGTTTGGAAAAAAGACTAGCAATATGGCAACTGCAGTATCTTTCTTTCGGAGGAGGAGTTACATTGATTAATAGTGTAATGGACAGTATCCATAATTCATATGTCCCTTTTCCCTATTCTAACAGAAGTTCTCCAAAAGCTTGACAAAATTAGAAGGAATTTTCCATGGGAAGGCAACAACAAGGATCATAAATTGCATTTGGTTAAATGGGCAAAAGTGACAACCTAAATATTGAAGGACCTGCAGATTATACAGTGATTGTTAGGGAAACAAAGTCTAGAAAGTCATTTCGAATGTCCAACATTTTGCAAAAAGATTATCATATCTTCCATCAGCACCTGTACATCTCGTGAGACATCAAATCCTTTAAGAGAAAGTATAACTTCAGGTGATGAAGTAAAATAATAAATTGAGCAGATTTTTCTGTACATCAAAATGCAATAGATCAATGTCAAAAAGTTAATACTTACCATTGTCATCAACCTTAATCCCAATGCCTATAGCGACACATAACTGGTGTAAACTAGGCTAAATTTCTAACTAGGAGTAAACAACTTATAAGAATAACAAACATAAAAAGAAGAACATGAGATGCCATTCCAAGCAACAGTTTTTTAGCTCTTGATTGCTATTTTGAGTTATATTGTGGAAACTACTGAAAAATAAGAAATCCGGAAGGTCATGTGTCACCCAAAATGGTGGTTTCGTGAGAAAAAAACTGATCTTTGCTAAGCCAAATCATTACTGGTTCAAAAGCATTGAAATCCGTCGTGGCTACAAGTATCACTTAGTCGTATGAGATGGAGAAGGAACATCGGGAAATGGAAATTTAATTCTAAGATCTCATAGACCCACCTGAGCTGCCATGCCAACCAGTGGCAGACCCAAGAATTTTATTTAGGCGTTCGAAAAATAAAAATATAAATGTGTAAATAAGTCTTTTGAAATGAACCCTTTGAACTGATTTTTTTAAATAAAAATAAACTGAAACTATAAATAAATGTTTGTGCAAGAAATCGAACCTGGGGTGAATATTCAGGGTCTTACCATTTGAGTTATCTATTTTTATTTGTTATTGAGGGGTTTCAAAATATATTCATCTACAGAAATACAAAAAATTTACCTTATGTATATCGTGTATGAGTCCGCCCCTGGTGCCAACAATAGTCTAATCAACTCGAGAGAAAACAAGTTTTATTGAACTTTAACGGAAAACAAAACCCGGTTCTCATGGTTTATAAATGGAGCAGAGAGAGTAATAAGAATAAGAAAAGAGGAAGGTAATGTGTAATTTCATGAAAAGGATGGTTTGGGCAGGGGGGGA